TGGTAATGTGGTAATGTTTTGAGATAAAATTTTATGTTGTTCATTTTGCGTATCATATGTCTAAATATAAGCAGACTTTGGAAGCTCCCAACCCCTAACATAAATATGGGTATTTTACAAGTAGAATCAAATGGCCAGAACCACCAAGAGATTCAGTGAACTAACTGACGCTTCAAGTGACAGGAATCCAAAATGATTCAAGGAAGTGAAGACTTTAGATCATAGATAGGGCCTACAGCTTTAGGAGATTAACTCAGTATATACAAAAAAGGCTCATATCCAGTAGAAGTAAGCCATCTGTTTATGTTCATTGAAATATTCATGAACTGTACTCCTGATTTGATATGATCATATTTTTTCAAGCATGCCACAAAATTGTAGAATATAACATATTCTTTCTGTATATGACTTTTGTTGAGTGGGGTATTTGGATAGGATTGTGGTACATGCCCCACATCTAAGACACATTTTGAGATATTTTGTCATTTAGGAGACAGAACTTATGCCAAAATTCAAACAGTATTGTATACCAATTGTAACTAAATCAGGATTGGCAAGTATTTGCAATGTGATTCCTAATTATGACTAGCAACGGGCTAGTTCTCACCTTCCTCTTGGTTTATGTCATTGGCAAGTACAAAAAAAAACTGAAGAATAGCATAATAAACAGGGCATCTGAGATAAATTCTAATGAAATATATGAAACCTTATTAATTCTTGGATTTCATACTATACTTCTGTGCTGCAAAACCAAATTAATAATTCAAGAAAAAAAATCTATTTTCCAAGTTACTCCAGTCTCTGAGGAAAACATCAATGTTTTTCATTTTTATTTTTGAGATTATAATAGAATTACACTATTTTTCCCTTCCCTTTCCTCCCTCAAAACATTCCCATAAGCCCCTCCTTGCTCTTTGTCTTTCAAATTCATGGCTTTATTTCTATTAGTTGTTGTTTTATGCATATGTACAGATAAATATAACCTTATCAGACTGTATAATGTTACTTGTATGTGTGTTTTCCAGGCTGTCAATTGGGTATTGGATAATCAGTTAGTGAGAAGGTACTATGTTCTTTCATAATCTTGTTCCTTATGAAACACTTGGCATTGATTTGCAGCCTTGAGGTCCATAACTATGTGCAAATATTGACTTTTTTAATGTTATAGGAAAATATTTAAAAGTCCAATAGTGTTTTCATGATTAGCACATTTCATAAGAAATAATTCTCATTAAGTATGTAGGTGTACACCTACTGTCCAAGCTACATGGATTGCTTGATATGACAAAAATGAGAAGGCCAGTACCACTTGAACTATTTTTATATACTTTTTAAAGAAATCATAACTTCCATTATCAAGATTCTTTTGATTTTCATTTTTTGGTTATTAAGTATATAGCAAACCAAAATATAAAAAGAGACAGACTAAGAAATATACAAATCAAGTGTTCAAGGCATTCAGTAGAAAGGAACTTTGAAAACTGAAGCAATCAGCTGTGTTTTTGAAGTGAGCTTTCCTCCAGCAATGAGCTATCTATATCTGAACTTCCAGTTTCTCTTTCCCATTCTAGGCACATTTAAAAAGGAAACAATATTTTTTATTCTATGAAACTTTCATACATATATACTCTGTATATTGATCATATCCACCACCACTACCTCTTTCCAATTTCTGTTAGTGCCTCCCACCACATCTCTCTCCCAATTTCATATTCTTCCATAATTTTTATTAAGAAGACCCCTGTCCAGCTAGTGCTGTTCATATGTACATGGGTTTGTGACCATTCAATAAGACATGAATATCCTACTAACAGTCGTATCCTCAAAGGCTTCAGAGGCTCCTCCCAAAATTTTCAAGATTACTAATGTTTTAAATTCCAGTTTTATAACAACATTAGTTTTAGAAAGAGAATTCCATGGGCATGAGTTTGAGATAGGCCTGGGCTACACAGTGAGAACTTAACATAAAAAGTAAGTCAGAAAGATATATGGTAAAGAACTTCATGTAGGTAGATCTAAGCTGACCTGTGTCCATGGACCATTGGAATTAATATTTATAAGATAACAAAAAATAAAAATTATCTACAAATTCAGTGCAATATCTTCAAGATATCAATGCCATTCTTTACCTATGTAAAAACACCTATATTGAAATCTATTTGAGAGTTCAAAAGACTCTGAAAGAGCTGAAGAAATCATGAACGAAAAGAGAAATAGTGGGGGCATACTGATATTACAATATACTAGAGGGCCGTGATGACTAAAACAATATAATATTAGCATAGAAATAGACTTATATGTTGGTGGAATAGGATAGAGACATCAGAAGTAAGCCTACATAGCTACAGCTATCTGATTCCCAAAACAGGTGTTAACAGTACATGAAGGAGAAAAGGCAACTTTTTCAACAGATGAAGCTGAGAAAACTTGATGTCCTTGTGTAGAAAATAAGAGTAGACCTGACTCCTCTGTACAAATGTCAATTTAAAATGTATGAAAGATCTTAACGTAACATCTGAAACTGTAAAAGAAAAACAAGATTAAGACATGATCAAGTATTTTCTGAAGATGACCCCAGTAGTTCAGGAAATAATAAAAATAATTGACAAATTACACTGAATGGAATTTAAAAGTTTTTGGAAAGCAAAAGAAATAGCAGAGTACAGAAATGGCTCATCTTCCAGAGGTTTACTGTCTAAAATATGAGGAAAACTATAAAAGCTAACACCAAAACAATAAGTAATCCAATAAAAAATAGCAAAATGATCTGAACAGATACTTTCTAAAATACAAATAGCTGATAAATGCATTTAAATAAAACTGTTCAACATCTTTAGCATCATGGAAATGGAAATGAAAACTAGGCTGAATTCCTCACTCCATGAAAACACTTTTAGATGGATAGATGATAGACAGACAGACAGACAGATAGATAGATAATTGATAGATGGATATACAAATGAAAGATGATAGATAAATGATGGAAAATAAATAGATGATAGATAGATAGGATAAATGACAGGTAAAAGATAGATAATAGATGACAGATGGAGATTATAGATCAATAGATGATATATACATAAGTGATAGATGATAAATATAGATGGATATATGATAGATAAATGATAGATAATAGAGGATGATTAAGATAGATGATAGATAGATAATTAATAAATAATAAATTATAGATACTAGATAGGTGATAGATATGTAGATAAATGGATAGATAGATCAATAGATCATAGACATATGGCAGACAGACAGATAAGGATAGGAGTGGGAACTGAGGATGAGAGTGCTTATTTGTAATCCCTGTGTTTAGATGCTGAGGAAAGAGGATTGTCATGAGTTTGAGGCTGCGCTGGACCACAAAACAAGCACAGACCAGTCAAAATTGCATAGAAAGACTCTGTCTCACAATAAAACAAAACAATAACAACAACAACAGCAAAAGTAGGTTAAAAAGTCAGAATACAAATGTTGGCAAGAATGTAAAGAAACTAGAACAAATGATTATGCACTATCAGTTAAAATATAAAACAATATAGCCATTATATAAAATAATGTGTCAGTTCCTCAAAAAAATAGAATTGTATGTTCCGCTGTACCATCCCAGGTTTGTAGTCTAAATGAAGTCAGCAAATAACAAAGATACCATCACCCTCATATTTATCATTTATATAGACACAGCAGCCAGGATATGGATCAATCTAGGAGAATGCCAACAGATAAGCGCATAAAAAACACATGGCAATATTATATATATATATATGTGTGTGTGTGTGTGTGTGTGCATATATAGAGATATAGATATAGATATCGATATATAGGTATAGAGAGAAAGCAATATTCAGGTATGAAGAATATTAAAATCTTGCCACTTTCATGGAAATGAATGGAACTGAAGGTTATTATATTAGGTATAATAAGCCATAGTCAAAGGGCCAAGTATCAGAAGTTTTGCTCATATATGAGATCGAAAAAAAGTAAAGACTTAGAAATAGAAAACATACTTTTAAGGAATTATAAATGGACCTTGAGACTAGAAAGATGGCTAAAGGGAAAAAGGCACTTTCTGCCAAGAATACAAACCAGAGGACATTCCCCAGAACTCATATATGAAAGGAAAGACCAATACACAGACACAGACACACACACACACACACACACACGAGAGGGGGGGATGGATGAATGGGAGGAAGGGTGGGTGGATGGATGGATGCATAGATGGATGGATAGAATGATGGTAGAAAACAATTTAACTAGGTTGTCCAAGAGAAAGGAGACATGAGGTGAGGGCAATCAAGAACATTAGAAAGTATGGGTTTGATCACTGCATTATTGTGAGTTAATCAACTATTTTAAATATATGGTAAAATAAAGCATTCACTCATAAGAGATAAGAACAGTAACAATTCTGCAGTGTCACAGCTTGAGTTTGAGGCTCTCATGGCTGGCTGCATTCCTGACTGAAACATTTGTGTTAAGAATGACACTTTGAGCTGCAAATATCGTTCTTGAACTCTAGAGACCGTTAAGTTCCAAATTCTCAACTTGCTTCAGGATTATGAATGCTGAATCTACCATATGTAGAGTGTAAAAAAAAGTGTTGTCCTGCTTGCTTCTGTTCAGGGTGGCAAGCAATTCATTTAGTGCCTCCATCAAAATGTTCATCAAGAAGCCAAAAGCAAAGCAAATGGCATTATAGAACCCAGTAGCGGGAGCACACATTTAGGGTTCTCTAGTTTATAACTATAGTTCTAAAGTATGATGTGGGCCAGGTGTTCAGGTTTGTTTCTTCTCTTTGCTGCAAGACACAGAACCACACTCTAGGAATTTCCTCACTGGAAAATGTATTATAAACTATTTGGCTCTTGAACAAGTTTATAAATATAAATGTCAGAAGAATACTATACAGTCATTATTTTAAAAAGCTAGTTTTTTAAGATTTATTTATTATGTACACATTGTTCTGTCTGCATGACAGAAAAGGGCTCCAGGTCTCATTACAGATGGTTGTAAGCCACCATGTGGTTGCTGAGAATTGAACTTAGGACCTCTGGAAGAGTAGTCAGTGCTCTTAACCTCTGAGCCATTTCTCCAGCCCAAGAGCTAATCTTGACAAGATGCTTAATCTGAAAGAGATAGAAGAAAAACTGAAAAAGCAGTTAAGGTAATTTCTAATAGCAGAGATTTAAAAGATGACGGTATACTAAGAAAATGGCCGTGGGAATGATGCGAGTACAGACCATAATAATCATTTACAATACATGAAAACCAAGGTTCTAATGACAGTGAGATGGGGAAGTGGGTAGGAAGGGGCAGGAATAAGAGAAGCTGACTGACAGGAAGATAGCCTGAGATATTCACAGTTTGGGCATCTCTAGTTAAGGCAGGAAGAAAAGGTGGAGCAGAGGGTTTGGGGTGAATGAAGAATGATAGATGACACATTTATTCCTGAGCACGTTGCATTTGAGTTTCCTTCAACTAATCCATGTGGAACTTTCCAGAAGGAAATAAAGTCTGGGTCTGGAGCTTAGAATAGAGATTGGAACTGGTCACACACTCTTGACAACATATGGTGCATTCTAGCCTTTCCACTTCAAATTTATTTTCAACAAAGAAAACAAGCCAAAGAGAATGTGTGTTTATTTTTTTCTGTGATCATCTGTCCCAAAAATAGAGGTTATCTCTTTTTATGTAACTTGTTAAAACATGCTGAATTTCTAAGAGAGGGAAAAAAAGACAATCCCAAAAGACTACATGCATAATGACAACTTCAATTCTATGATATTTTTAAATGACAATAAAATAAAAAGTTTCAGAAATGGAGAACAAACTAATGGTAACCAGGGTTGGACAGAGTACTACAGAAACATGAGTGTTATTATTAAAGAGCAGCGTGAGGGAAGTTTGAGGTGACAGAATTGTTGTATACTTGGTGATGTGACTCCATGTGGTTAAATTACGTATAACTAAACACACACAAAGGCAAGAATAATCAGGTAAGACTGGGGTTCATGTTGACATGTTCTATCAGGGTGGCTATTTTGGTTGTGACACTGCACTGTGGTTTCTAAAACAAGTACCACTATGTCAACTGCATTAAAGATATGGAGGATTCCTACAGTGTTTCTTATGAATGTATACCAATATAAAACTATTTCAAAATAGAAAAATCCTTTTTTAAAAAAATATTTAAGCAAGGTAATTTTGAATGGAGAAAACAATGTACAAGGTCTCTCATTTTTTTCTCATCTAGCCTCAAGTTCTTCCTTATTTCTGGAAAGGGCTTGGGGCAACCTTGTGAGAACAACAAGGTCAGAATAGAGAGAAACTATTTCTCAAACCTAAAGATTACTGGCCTCCATTAAGATGGAGTTGGTTAAGCATATTGGAGGAGTGGAGAAAACAAGAGAACAAAAACAAACTGAGTAAGTCTTGAGGCAACACCGGGTAGCTGGACTGAAGACCATCAATGTTCCAGTGGAAATCTTACTACTATAACATTTTTAAGGAATCAGGAAGGGAATAGCAACAGATCTCTTGACCACAGATTCCCAATCTTGTATGATTCATTGCTATCCTGTGCTAATCAACATAATCATTAGAACATAAAAGGACATTCCTAGGACAGCAACCAGCATCTTACTCAGTGCTATACATAGAAATGATTATCCATTACCACATATGTTCATGGGAATATCCAAATTGCTCCTAATAGTCCAGCATATTTATGAATACCTATAAAAAAGGATAAAATTGGGAGTTCAGAAAATTGCATCCATCTATGGATATTTAAGGAATTATGACACATGGATCATCTTGAAACCTCCCCACTCCCCACCCATGCCGATTTGGCTACCTAATTTCCTAATTATGAAATCTGAGATACCATTTATGTGGAAGGGAGTACACCTAAACTCAACATCAAAAATCCTCCACTATTCTCCAACCTATTTTTTGAGATAGAGTCTTGCTCAACCCATAGTTTATATTGGATGGGGGTTGGGGCTAGCAATTGAGCTCAGGGTATTTGCCTGTCTCCATTTACAGCAGTGGGGTTATAGACATGAGACACTATGCCTGGCTTTTTTAATGGATACTGGGGATCCATACTTGCATTCTCAGGCCTGCAGAGCAAGTACTTGGAGACAGGCTATCTCCCATCTCCAAACCTGAACTATCTTCTATCTCTTTTGCATCACCAGAAAAATCTTCTTTAGTGACTGGGCGGTGGTAACACACACCTTTAATCCCATCACCCAGGAGACAGAAGTAGGCAGATCTCTATAAGTTTGAGAGCAGCCTGGTCTACAAAGTGAGTTCCAGGAAAGGATCCAAAGCTACACAGAAAAACCCTGACTTGAAAAACCAAAAAAAGTCAAACGATGCCTTTTAACTTTAAGAGGCTAACCACACAGAAAGGTAAAGGAACTCTCCATAAAACCCATGGGAAAGACTGTACACCTCTTCCTTGGATCCTTTCTAGAGTCACGGATGAAAAAATAAAAGAATTGTCTCCAAAGTTCTACATATAGAATTTCTGTGTTACGGAACAAAGTATGATCAAGACAACTGAAAATTTTTTCAAAGCTGTGAATGTAGTAGAATGTGCTTCTTGCAGATGTTTACACAGTTCAAGTTTCCTATTACTACCACTTGTATTTCTGTACCTGCTTCACAATCTGCATAAAGAATTTGTTCTTCATCTCCTCTACCTGTCCAGGCATCCACGTAGTGGTGGCACATCTATTTCCCTTTCAAAATACTCTTAACCAGATGTCTAAAATAGGGTTTATTGACTTTCTTAAGAAAGAAAGAAACCAACAGACAGCGACACTCTCCAGCCATATATTACTATTTGGTGTTTTACCTTTGCCACTATGCCGCTTTCACTGCACCTACAGCATTGGTAATTCTTACTACCATATGGGTATTAGTTTATGATAAAAATTTTCCAGCTCTGACACTACTGCATGTAGCATATATTGACACCTATATTCATAAGTAGTCATCATGAACATGCAACCTCCTTCTCCCTGGAAAGTCAGTTACTCTTTTATCTGGATGAGACAGCTCTGTCAAGATGGGCAAGATGATCTCAAGATGTGGGGAGAGCTCTTGGAATTGTTCTTCTCTCAGTTTTCATTTGTGAATGCCTGTGTTGCAGGAAAGTGAGATTATTTATTTTGTAAACTTTAAACGCATTTAATATGTAATTCAAAAGATTTTTATATTTTTTAGTAAAAGTAATTTTTGTACTACATACTCTACTATGGTTCCTCTCACTCAACTCCTCTCAGATCCTACTTCCTCTCCCTTTCTTGTCTATTTCTTCAAAAAACTAAGAGCTGCTCATTGCAGATGTTACTGGTCTACCATTAGCAAGGCTTAAGTAAAATCACTTTGGCTTCCTGGTGTGATTTCAGAAGGTAGTTCACACTTTAGTGTGCTGAAAATATAACACAAAGCAAGAGGTAAATTTATGCGTTGGTTATTTGATACTTGCTTTAGACAATCATTGTTTATTTTGATGCTGTGGTGCTGAAGTAGAATAAGTAGAAAGATTAATTGTTTTATACTGCTTTATTGACTTACCAATAAATAAATAGGTGTTTGTACTACCTATTAACCAAGCATAACTTCACTTGCTTCCTAGCATAAAATGATCTGGAGAAATATCTGAAACAATGGGCCATTGCCTTTAATAACATGCTGACTGTCATGTATGCTTCTGTAAAATCTTGCTTGTATGATTCCCCACTTTGTGGTTTTAGATTAAAGAAAGAAAATACAAACTGGCTCTGACATCAAAACCCTTGAGGAGCTATCCTAGTTTGGGTCCACCAGTGACCTCGGTCTCTTCCACTGCCATTGATGTGGGAGTGTTTATTCCAGAAAGATTAGTACAATAGTAGGCATTGATGTGCATAAAATAAGAACAGATGTGATGACTAAATTGGGGGACTATTTCCAAAGAAGAGAGTAGCCCTGGTAACTGCTACCTTCCCCCGGCCCCCCCAAAAAAACTTGTGACAACTACATTCAGGAAAGCCAAGATCTGGAGTAATCAGGTGACCAGTGTCTCACACTAACAGTCTAAATAACTTGCTGTCAAGGAGCACATAGCCAAAGCACACCCATGGGAGTACAACAGAAAATAGAAAACTATCAAGATAACTGTAATTACAATCAATCAATGAATGGCATGGAAAACATCAATGTGGCCAGTGTTGGGAAGGCAACTAAGAGAATGCAACCACAGCAAACACATTTCAAAGAAAGAAATCTAGAGGAGAAAGGAAATAAAATACTATCAAAATGCTAGCCATCATAATTACCCAACAGTAAAAGAACAGTTCTCAAGTTAGATTCTTGGGCCCTTAACCGCCAGGGATAGTAGGAAACTGAACAAATTTAGACAGGTAGTTCCAGAAAGAGAGAGGCAGGTATGCAGCTGTCCAAACAACAGGGTCTACACAATTGCTGGCTTGCTTCAGAAAAACTCCAACTGCTGTAGAAATTTAATTGTTAAGGCAAACGAGGGTACAGAAGGCACCAAGCAGGAATGAAGCCTGATTCTAAAAACTCAGATTGCTTGTTACATGACCCCAAGTCATAACAGGCAATTGGGAAAAAAATCCTATGTGCATATAGCAAAGACTCATCGATAAGTCTGCCCCAAAGCAGAAAAACAGTTCAAATGAGAGGTGTGGTATAGAACAGAATTCAAGGCATGGAAACTGTATGTCAATGATAAAAAAAAACAAATAATGAGGTATAGTAATCCATTTTTTAATGTTTTAACACAGGAGACTTCTCTATTTATTTCATGAATCCAGTAATACCCTAACAAAAATGAGTCAAAGATATTACAAAAATTATATGCCAGTATTCCTTATAGTAAAGATACAAAATAGTCAACATAGTATTAACAATGTAATTCAGTAATATGTAAAAAATACTATAATCACAGTGGAGTATTTTTCTGAGGATATAAGGCAGGCCTAATATTTGGAAGTCAATCAGTGTAATTCATTATATTATCTAGCTAAGAAAAGAAAACACCTTAATGATGGGGGAAGTCCTTCTGTATATGTTTCTCTTTTTGGTTGATGAATAAAACACTGTTCAGCCAATGAAGCAGGAAGATAGGTGGGACTAGAAGACGAGGAGAATTCTAGAAAAGGTAGGCAGGAGCCAGCCAGAGATTTCATACTGCCAAAGGAGTAACATGCCAGATTACGGGTAAGCCACAGCCTTGTGGTAATACATAGATTACAGATATGGCTTAATAATTTAGAGAGAGCTAGCCAATTAGAATCCCAAGCCATCGGCCAACAGTTTCATAATTAATATAGCACCAGTGTGCTTATTTGGGCTCAAGGTCAGCAGGACCATGTGGGACAAGAAAACCTACAGCAACACCTTAATGATATAGTTTGGATGTGATTTGAATCATTCATAGTTTCACATATTAAAGGCTTAGTCCAAAGGGTGGCAATACTGGGAAAGTAGATCTTTAAAAACCTAGGTCTAACAGGAAGGACCCTAAGTTCCTGGGAAAATATTCTCAGAAAGAAACTAGGTTTTTTTCATGGTAGTTGCAGCAGGTTCTGTGCTTCCTGGTTGAGAAATAACCCCTCCTCTCACTTGTACTACCACTGTGATGGGACTGTCTCCCATTGGGCCTTCAAGAGAGGCTGACCCAAGACCCCCTGATCCAGGACTTTGCATCACTAGAATATAGAGGGACGAAATTTCATAAATGGTTTCATCATACATTGTGTTGTACTAACACAAACTGGCTACCACTCATTGCAAATGGTACAACAAAAAGTATTTGAAAATACCTAATGTGATTTTTAAACCTTATAAAAATGTGAATAGAAGGAAATTGCTCAATAAAGGGATCTATATAAAATATACTGCTAAGACAACAATATACTTTCCCGTTACATTAAAAATAGACTCTTAGAAACACCAGAGACCTGAGGACTGCACACAGCAGATCCGGATCCCAGCCGGACTGGATTCAACCCGCTCAGAGACTGCCAGCTTCCAAGTCCCAATCTCCACCCACCCGGGGACAGGGGAGGTGAGGCAAGTCAAAATTCTGGTGGCCTGAGCAGAAACACCTGAGACCTGAGGACTGTGCACAGCAGATCTGGATACCAACCCCACCAGGATTCAGCCCACCCAGAGAATGCCAGCTTCCAAGTCCCAATCTCTACCCACGGGACAGGCCAGGTAAGGCAAGCCTAACTTCCAGTGGCCTGAACAGAAACATAGGAGAACTGAGGACAGCCCATAGGGGATCCGGATCCCAGTTCGACAGAATTCAACCTGAACAGAGACCGCCAGCTTCCAAGTTCCATTCTCCACCTACAGGACAGGTGAGGTGAAGGTCCAGCCTACCCAGGGTTTGCTAAAGTTCAGATACTAGGACAGCCTCCATCCACGTAAGAGGAAAGCCACCATGGTATTGGACCTGCTCCCACCCACTGGAAAGGAACCGTGGTCACATATGCATCAGAGGAGGAAGAGACTCCTTCTGCACCCACAGGAAGAAATGATGAGAAGGAGACAATACAAAAACATACCCACCAACAGAAAAACCAATATGACACGGCCAGAAACTAGAGAATTTACAACCACAAGACCTGAGCAGACAATTGCAGAAGAAGCAGATGAGAAAGACCTTAAAAACAACTTCATGAAAGTTAAAGTTCAACACAACACAAATTTCAGAAACCCTACAAACTCATGGAAATTAAGTAATGTACAATTGCACCACTCCTGGATCAAAGAAGAGATAAAAAAGAAATTAAAGACTTCCGAGAATTCATTGAGAATGAAGATACAACATACACAAACTTATGGGACACTTTGAAAGCAGTGCTACGAGAGAATTTCATAGCATTAAGTGCCCACACGAAGAAACTTGAGAACAATTACACTAGAGAATTAACAGCACAACTGAAAGCTCTAGAACACAAAGAAGCAAATTCAGCCAGGAGTAGACGCTAGGAAATAATCAAATTGAGGGCTGAAATCAATAAAGCAGAAACTAGGAAAACAATATAAAAAAAATCAATGTAACGAAGAGTTGGTTCTTTGAGAAAATCAACAAGATAGACAAACTTTATCCAGACTTACGACAAGCAAATTAACAAAATCAGAAATGAAAAGGGGACATAACAACGGACACTGAAGAAATCCAGAGAATCATCAGGTCATACTTTGAAAACCTGTACTCCACACAATTTGAAAATCTGAAGGAAATGGACAATTTTCTGGATAGGTATCACTTGCCAAAATTAAATCAAGAACAGATAAACAATTTAAATAGACCTATAAACCCTAAGGAAATAGAAGCAGTCATCAAAAGTCTCCCAACCAAAAAAACCCCAGGGCCTGATGCTGCAACGATAAACGGCACACTTACTGAAAATAAAAATAAGTATTTATTGTAGAAATTACTCACAAGAGACAAACAAGTAACCCAGATGAGCCGAGTAGTTTTCCACCACCAAACTGGAAGCTGGAAAGCCAGAAAAAGAGAGCGAGACATTCGTTGTTCAGTCTTTTATACCTTCATCCGTAACGCCCCTAGTCATGCCCAAAAGTGGGCCTGGCTAGTGACATAGTTCACCGCCTACATCCGTATACGTCTTTAGTCATGCCTAAAGCAGGTGTGGTTAGTGGTGTGGTAAACCGCCCTTTTATTACCTCATCTGTATGCGCCTCTAATGAGTCACATGGCTAATGGCGGAGTTCTGTTTTCCTCCTACAATTCCCCCTTTAGTCTAAAAAGGATATTTAAACTTAAAACAACTAACTTGTGTCAATGAAAAAAATGTATCAAACATCTATCCCATCTAAACCTAAATTTATCTGAAAGAAACACCCAAGTCTGAATACCTCTTTCCAATCCCAACTCTAAAATAATTGAAAACTAACACTAACAGGTGTAAACTATCCTATAATATCAATAGTAGGGAGAGAGGGCATGGAATGCTCAAAACTACTTCCTGCTGGGATGGGACGATGACAGTATCAGGGGGACCTGTGAGAAGAAAAATGTTAGTGTAACAAAATCTTCAGTAGATCAGACAATCTCTGTATGGCAGGAGATGCTTGATTGAAGTTCCTGACTGGAGTTCTAGTGTTGATTGAAGCTCTCGTCTGAAGCTCTGGCCAGATTGTAGAAGATGTGCTGTTTCAGTTCCTTGGTCCGGAGTTGTGTCGAGTGATGTAGTTTCAAGCCAGTTTCAGGATAGTGCTTGTCAGGTGAAGTCGATGATGTGGGGCAATTCAGATGCCTCCAGTCGAATCAGGTGGAGTCAAGAAAGTGGATCCTCATTCTCTTTCTGAAGCAGTTGAAGATTGCTGTCAGGAAATCCCTTGTTCTCTGGAAAACTCAAACATTAATGTTAACAAAGAAATACTGTAACTTTTATAGTATGCATACTGGAAGAGGTGACAATAGGGGAGATGGTAAACATGAAGGAAATTAGACTTTTCAGAAAAAGAAATCCACAGATAACAGTCCCTACTTTTATTTTCTTCTGTCTTATATCAATGGCTCTTTGATATAATACAGAAATTCTGAATTTTATTTAAATAGTATGCTTGAATTTAGAGTAGGAGAGCCAATCCAACTCCAAAGCCAGCTTCAGTTAAATGAATGGGGACTAAAGTATATGAAAAAACAAAGATAAAAGGGTATTATAAAAAACAATATAGAGAGATTTAGACTTTAATACCACACAGTGACTGTTTGTTTGATAGTCCTCAGGGTAGCTATTCATTCTTCTTCAGGAATCTCCATGTCCAGTATTCTTTGCTGAGTTTACCTGTGAAGACAAAAAACAAAACACTTCTCTTTCTTTTTATGAGGTCACTTTACCCATGGTAGAATATGATTTTGTAGATGAGCTATTATCTTCCTCCTCCTGAGATGTCTTCTGTTCTGATCGAATCTTAATTAATTTTGATGAAACCCAAAGCTTTTCTTTTCCTGTGGAAACAAAAGCAAAACCTCTTCCCCAACATAACACATATCCTGGTTTCCAGACTGAGGGCATAGCATCCTTAAAATGCACCGGTTGGTTCAGTTCAGAAGAATTTTCTGTAGTCCAGTGTATTTCTGCTGCAGTTTGTCCTTTTTCATCAGCATTAAGAAAATTCAATGTTAGTAAAGCATTATGTAACCTGTGTTTGGGGGTCTTTGTTCCCCCTGGCTGTTTATGAAACATCTCTTTTAAGGTTCGGTTAGATCTTTCAATCACTGCTTGGCCTGTGGGATTGTAAGGTATACCCGTTACATGTTTTATATTATAATATTTGAAAAATTGTTCCAATTTACTGGAGACATATGCTGGAGCATTGTCAGTTTTTATTGTTTTTAGGTATACCCATAACAGCCATCAAGGGCCACATGGCCTCAGTGCAGAATTCTACCAGAAACTCATAGAACAGCTTATACCAATTCTTCTCAAAGTATTCCACGCACTAGAAGCTAAAGGGTCTTTGCCAAACTCTTTCTACGAATTTTCAAGATACCCTGGATACCCAAGACACACAAAGACACATCTGAGAAAGAGAACTTCAGACCAATATCCCTCATGAACATTGATGCAAAAATACTGACAAACCGGATCCAAGAACACATCAGAAAACCCATCCACCATGATCAAGTAGGCTTCATCCCAGGCATGCAGTGGTGGTTCAGCATATGAAAATCCATCAATGTAATCCACCATATAAACAAGCTGAGAAACAAAAATCACATGATCATCTCACTGGATGCTGAAAAAGCCTTTGACAAAACCCAACACCCCTTCATGATAAAGGTCTTGGAGAGATCTGGGCTAACAGGAACTTACTGCAACATAATAAAAGCCATATACAGCAAACCAAAGCCAACATCAAACTAAATGGACAGAAACTCAACACAATTCCTCTAAGATCAGGAACAAGACAAGGTTGTCCACTCCCTCCATACCTCTTCATTATTGTACTTGAAGTTCTAGCTAGAGCAATATGACAATAAGAGGAGATCAAGGTGATACAAACTAGAAAGGAAGAGGTAAAACTTTCACGATTTGAAGATGATATAATAGTTTATATAGGTGACCCAAAAAACTCTCCCAGAGAACTCTAGCAGCTGATAAATACTTTCAGCAAAGTGGCAGGATACAAGATCAATTCAAGAAAATCAGCAGCCCTACTATATACAGACAATAAAAGGACTCAGAAAGAAATCAGAGAAACATCACCCTTCCCAATAGCCTCAAACAACATAAAATACCTTGGGGTAATGCTAACCAAACAAGTGAAAGACATGTATGGCAAGAATTTTGAGTCTTTAAAGAAATAAATTAAAGAAGACACCAGAAGGTAGAAAGATCTCCCATGCTCTTGGATAGGTAGGATCAACATAGAAAAATGGCAATCTTACCGAAAGCAATATACAGATTTAACACAATCCCCCATTAAAATCCCAGCACAATTCTTCACAGACCTTGAAAGAGCATTAATCAGTTTTGTATGGGAAAAACGAAAGACCCAGGATAGCCAAAACAACCTTATTCAACAAAGCAACATCTGGAGGCATCACCACCCCTGACTTCAAGCTCTACTATACAGCTGTAGTCCTGAAAACAGCTTGGTATTGGCACAAAAGTAGACAGGTAGCCCAATGGAATCGAATTGAACACCCTGATATTAACCCATACATGTATGAACATCTGGTTTTCGACAAAGAAGCTATAAATATACAATAGAAAAGAGAAAGCATCTCCAGCAAATGGTGCTAGCATAACTAGATGGTGGTATGCAGAACAATGCGGATAGATCCATGTCTATTGCCATGCACAAAACTTAAGTCCAAATGGATCAAAGACCTCAACATAAATCCAACCACACTAAACCTTTTAGAAGAGAGAGTGGGAAGCACCCTTGAATGAATTGGTACAGGAGACTGCTTCCTGAACACAACTCCTGTAGCACAGACACTAAGATCGACAATTAATAAATGAGACCTCCTGAAACTGAGAAGCTTCTGGAAGGCAAATGACACAGTCAGCAAGACAAAAAGCCAACCCACAGATCGGGAAAAGATATTCAGCAACCCCACATCTGACAGAGGGCTGATCTCCAAAATTTACAAAGAACTCAAGAAGCAAGTCTCCAAAACACCAAAGGATCCAATCGAAAAGTGGGGTACACATGGTGTATGATTGAACTTTGGGAGCCCATTCCAAATAAAGGGATGCTCTCTAAGCCTGGACACATGGGGAAGGGCCTAGATCCTGCCCTGGATGAAATGACAGACTCTGGAGACCCCCCAAGGAGGGCCTCACCCTCCCTGGGGAATGATGTAGTGATTGGGTGGGGGGCTAGTGGGACTAGTGTAGGGACAAGGGAATAGGGGTGGGAGACGGAGCTAGGATTGACATGTGAAACATTCATGTTTCTAATTTAAATAAAAACACATATTGAGGGGGAAATTGGGGTACAGTACTAAATAGAGAATTCTCTATAGAGGAGTCTAACATGGCTGAGAGACACTTGAGAAAGTGCTCAACATCCCAGCCATCCTGGAAATGCAAATCAAAACAACTCTGAGATACCATCTTACTCTTTTCAGAATGGCTAAAATCAAAAACTCCAAGGACAGTTTATGCTAGAGAGGATGTGGAGAAAGGAGAACACTCCTATTCTGCTGGTGGGAGTGCCGACTTGTACAGCCACTTTAGAAATCAGAATGGAGATTCCTCAGGAAAATAGAAATCAGTCTACCACAAGACCCAGCAATTCTACTCTTAGGCATATACCCAAAAGATGCACATTCATACAACAAGGACGTCTGTTCCACTATGTCCATAGCAACATTATCTGTAATAGCCAGAACCTGGAAGCAACCTAGATGCCCCTTAACTAAAGAGTGGATAGAGAAAATGTGGTACATTTACACAGTGGAGTACTGTTCAGCGGGAAAAAAAAAAAACAATGGAATCTTGAAATTTGCAGGCAAATGGATGGCACTAGAAGAAACCATCCTGAGTGAGGTAACCCAGTCACAAAAAGAGAAACATGGTATGTACTCAATCATTTATGGATTTTAGACATGAATCAGGAGGGTGCCAGCATACAATCCCACTGCTGGGGCCTTGGGTAGTATTTATCCCTGGTGTAGAAGTAGACTTTGAGTGCCCATGCCACAATATGGGAGGCTCTCTCAGCCAGGACTCTTGGGGGAGGTCCTAGGCCCTGCCCTGGATGAAATGACAGTCACTGGAGATCCACCATGGAGGGCCTCACCCTCCCTGGGGATCAAAGTGGAGATTGGGTGGGGGACTGGGGGATCTGGTGGGAAGAGTGAGGGAGGAGGGAAGGGAGAGGGAGCTGGGATTGACATGTGAAACAAGATTGTTTCTAACATAAATTAAAAAATAATAATTAAAAAATATATAATGTTTGAAAAAATAAAAACAAATGCTTCAACGCACTGCCCAACAAAAAAGACTTTTCTCAA